AGATACGCCGACCTAATACCCCAATCGAACTCACGAATTTCAGAACATCACACTTTCCCATTCACGAATGCGTCCCTTACTCTTCTCAAACATCCACTCCCCAATAGAAATCACCGTGATCGGAGTAATCATTGCCTTTAGTGTGTATTCTTCATGTTGCAGAGGCAATTTTTATACACAATTCACACACAACCTATTCTACTTAATCATTTTATACACAGTTCACAACAATCGGAAACAATTTATCTTGTTGAACCATTTTATACCTCCTTCACACAAAACCCAAATACCATCCTCTTTGTTCAAACAACACAAAACCACAAAACAATTTCCTATCTCAACTCAACTTTCACTCTGCATCGATCAACAACATCTCGGGATAGCTGTCCGTAATAGAAGTCTGGGAGCAAATTAGAAGCACACATCATCCTAATCCCCAGATTGGTAGAAAAGAAGTGGTGATGAAAATCATGAAAAAAAAAATATGTTATCTCAAAAATACTGATGCATGTATATATATTGTTGTTGAAAATATTGTTGAGATCGTTACATATATTTTTTTTTTCCTTTGATGCATATATATATATATATATATATATAGGATGTGGTTCAAATGAGAACCAAGTCTTAGTGTGAGAACCGTGAGGACTGCTATTTTTAATTGTGCGTGGTGCTATGATTGATTGTGTTTGGTGCTATTTTTAATCAAGATGTACTTTATTAAAAATAGCAACACAATTTATGTTAGCATTTGTAAAAATGATAACACCATGTGAGATTAAAAATAGCATCATACACAATTAAAAATAGCATCAAATATGGTTCTCACACCAGAACTAGTTTTTATTTGAACTAACCACTATAAATATATATATATATATATATATATATATATATGTACTGCCATATTGATAGATTATCTATTTATTATTTTTTATAGATGTTATCGTGTTGTACTGTGATCATGTATATTAAACTCTTATGTATTATTAATATTTTATCTGTTGTATCGTATTAAACTTCTTTTATGTTCTGTATACGCAACTTTTTATCAGTTATTAATATTTTATTTGTTTTACTGTATTAAACTTTTTATCTACGTGTTGTGATTTTATCTGTTTTGTATACTGCGTGGTGTATGTTAATCTGTCATAATACCGTTTGATTTATTTTATTTTATTTTTCTCCCTGTCTGGTGCATAACTTATATGTGTAACCCTAGACATTAGAATTTTATTTACATGCAACAATTATTTATACCGCATGATTAAAATAGATATTGATGACACTTATATAATTGTTGTGATAAAAACTTAGAATATAATAATTAATTAATCTAAAGAGTAGACATGGTAAGCTATTTTATTATTTTGAGTGGCTATTGTAAAACTAGAAACAACCCAGCTTCAAACCAATTAGTTATTATAACTTAATTTTTAAAATAGCTTAATTGCCTATTAGAGTTTCTTTGTTCAAAGAAAACTTGTGGTAATTTCTAAGGTTATGGTGAAATTGTCCTAAAATTTGTTAGCTATTAAATAATTATGGTAATAGTAGTCGCTTGAAATTTGACATAAATTAGAATTTAAAAAGCTTATTTTTATAACTAGATCATNAGCTTATGCCTTATAAAATTTTATAACTAGACCATCTAAACACGTCCTCGGGTTTGGAAATCATTTTTATATAACTGATAATAAATAATGTTAAGAATTCATTAAATATTTTAAGATGTATGAATGAAAAAATCGGATTCAATAAAGATGAAATGTTGATTTATTATAACAATAATTATCATAAAAATTTAGAAAATCACTAATTTTCAATAAAGTAACTGTGGAACTCGAAATTAAGTGTGTCCATCCACACCTCCATCTAACACTAACATCCGGGCCATAAAAGTTATACTTCTAGAAAATATTGTTCTCACTAGTGTTGAGATTATCTTACTTGTGCTATTAATTAAATTTGATGTGGTCTTGTACACTTAACTCTTGCCATATATTGACTTGACTGTTTGGGGCGGTTAGACCAAACCAAGAATCGAGCAGCGTGGCTGCAGTTCTCGGTAAGGCTACCGTTGTTGCCAATTCCCATAACTGAGACGGGGTGCTCCAAAGTGATTGGGTCGTAGAATTAGGGTATAATCGCGATTATGACATTCTCCGGGCGGAAGCCCATAGCTAAGTAGTTTGTCGAGCCCGGATAAGATATAAGGTTGGCTTGGGACTGCATAGTCCATACTGGAGCTTCGGCTCAAACTGAGGCCAAAGGCTTATATTGCTGGGAGTCATAAGGAAGAGTCTAGGATCATGTCAAACCGACTCGTTCCGAAGCTAAACTGTTTTGCTAAAATGTTGATCTCTGCTTTATTTCACAGGGATTGAAATCACTGCTTTATTTCATTTATATATAGTGCATGTTAAATGTACATTTGTGTTTATAGTAATCTAAAATTTTCAAGTATGCTACCTTTTAACATAGTATGAATACTTTAAAAATTGATACTGTTTCGAATCATGCATCACAAGTTCTTGAAAAAAATTAAGCCACACATTGCACACACTCACCCACTCACTGAGAATTTTTGTCTCATTCCATATATGCCAACCATGGTGGAAGAGGCTAACTCTAAAGAAGAATTTTCCAACTGAATCGTGGCCTCTTTATTGTTAGCATGGTCTTAATTAAAAGTTATTTTCGGGATGTAATAAAATTGGGACTTAGTATTATTGATTGTCATTTTGGTACTTGTTTTATTCCGAGACTATTCCGCTGTCAGTTTGTAATTTGTATTTATTCAGACCATGTTGTATGACTTGTATTCCGACTATCAAACTTATTTTCACCGGACTAGGTTTGAAATGTTGTTTTATATCCTTGTTATTATTTTTGTTTTATATAATGTTCATCATATTACTGCTTGACGTCGCGTCCCCATCCAACCCGGTGTGGAGGGCGTGACAGAGTGGTATCAGAGCTCGGTCGTGAGAAGGACACTTACATCGAGCTAACCCAGGATAGGATCCTTGAGCTTATTGGGTTACCATTTTAATCGTCTATTATTATTATTATTATTATTATTATTATTATTATTATTATTATTATTTACTGTCACTTTTCATGATTTGTTAAATACTTTACTTTATATGTTGACCTTATTTATATTATATGTGCTTATACGTGTATTAGCTTTATATGAGTATCTTGTTGTCTTCTACCCTTTGTTTGATGCGTTTTGACGAGAGTATTATTATAAGTATGGACCCCATCTCTACTCTTCTGTTCTATTTGACATATGAGAGGAGCCGAGTAGAGGACTTAGAGGAGACACTACAGCTGTGGATGAACGATTCGGAGAACAAACACAAGATGTTAGTCACGCAGGCAGAGCACATTCACGATTTGGAGCAGCAGCTTACGAAAGCTCAACAAATCGTGGGGATGCACTCCTCTAACTGCCAGGAACTGTTTAATGAGCTTGAGGGTAGCAAGGTGATGATTGAACAACTGGAGGCCCAACTAAATCAGGTAGAACACCATGCTGATCATCACTACCAGCAGCATCAGATGGAACAAGAACGCTGAGAAGAGATGGAGAAGGAGCTAGTAGATAAGGAATTTCAGATAGTAGAACTGGGTAGTAAAGTGAAGAATTTGGAACTCGAACTTAAAGTGAAGGATGATGCAATGGCTAAGATGGAAGCTGAGAATCAAAGGCTTCGCCGAAGGGTCTCTTTAGGAGCACAGTGGATTGGCATTCTTGAATGTCAAATTGCCGCAGAGAGACTCATCGCCCAACAGCCTTCCACTTCGATGGGACCTCAGCCTGCACACCCGCGCCATGTGGTCACAGTCAACAGTTCTGAGGAGGACCCAGAGGAGGACCCAGAGAAGGATATGATGGATGACGATTGATCAATTGCTTTATTACTAGGATTATTATTTGCTCTATGGACGATGTTTTTTTGTTATTATTATGACCTTTTTTAGATGGTATAGTTATTAATAGATCCTTGGACAGGGTAATTTTCTGGTGTTTTCTCTGTCCATGTTGATGTTAATGTTATGTCCATGTTTTGATTATATGTTAATAGTTATCATAAATCACATTTAAACTGATACAAATGCATCTACTTGTGGTGATTCTTCATTGAACATTAGAGCTTAATATTAACTTATTGTTAAATAATTGAACTTATTATAGATGGCAACGTGGACGACCTCGCCTTCATCACAATGAAAATGCAGCCCCACGGCATGGTGTTGTAAATATTTTTCCGGAGTAGAATCATAAGATTCGAACACTGGGTCGTGTTTCACGAGGAAGGTTAGCCGGAATACTCTGCACGTTTATTCAAGCACAAGTAAAAGAAATAAAATTCCTAAACATTCTAATTCAGATGACTTAGTTTGATTATTAACTACGACAGTTCAAATTAAGCAAATAGAAATTTAAAAGCAGAGACGATGAACAAGCAAAAGTAAAGATCTAGGGAGTCGGGGATTACCGTTTTGGTTCGATTTGCAATTAATGGGCAAGTTATTGTTCGGTTAAGTGATTTCAATAACCTGCACGTTCAAGTACTCATCCTCAATAACTCTTTGTAACAAGAGAACAAACTTGAACGACAAATTAACTAGTCATTTAACACCTAGGCAATACAGTTACAAACAAGCCTAGCTTATACGAGTCTATTTCGACCAACTCCTCCCCTTTCGGTTCTAAGAGTCGATTAAGATAAATTAGAGGGTGGTTAACCAACTAATCAAATAGAATCACCAACATCATGCAAGAATATATCAAATTCAATTGAAACAATTGTAAGTTCAAGTGTCACCCTTCAACAATTCTCAATATCCCAGAATAATTGAAATTCCTAAAAAAAAGGTCAACTCGCATAAGAAGAACAATCAACGAACACTACAATCACAACCGAATCCAAAACATTAATCCCCTATCCCTAGCATATAGATTTAGCTACTCATAATTGAATCAACACAAGCATTCATATCAACCCAAGAATTCATATTCATCAAGTTAAATGAGAAGAAAATCTTACGATTGACAAAATCCCAAAGTTGAATCTGATAAATAGGCTTAAATCCAAAGCAATGAAGAAAATCCTACTCAAATCCACGAACAATTTTTGTTTTAAGATGAAAAAGATGAAAGAAAAGTGAAAAGAACCAGAGAAGAGAAGAGAGGGTAGGGTTTTTACGTTCTGGAGTCGAGAGATCCTTTATGTCGCAGTCCGATCTTATATTTATATGTGCAGGGACTCGCGGTGTGGAGAAGGTCTGGTGCGGCGCGAGGCAGAGCATTGCAGCGGCGCGAAGGTGTGGTCGCGGCGCGAGGAGGTGGTCTGCCGCAGCGCGAAGGTGTGGCCGCGGTGTGGCGGGCAAGGCTGGACGTGTTCTGTAGGGGCGCGATAGGTAGGCGCGGCTCGGCAGGAGAGGTTGTCGCGGCGCGGGGGTCTTCACGGCGCGGCAAGGGCTGGCTTGGAGTCTCTGTCCAGGTCGTGGCATGCATTGCGGTGCGGCGCGGGCGCGAGGGCTGATTGCGACGGCGTGGGACGCGGGAACGTGCGGCGCCTAGGCATTTGGTGGTCTATGTCGCACGACTTTACATTTTGTGCCCGTATACGCTCGTCTGAACTCGGAATCTGATTCCGTTTTTTCCTATGTGATGCCAACAAATTTCTCTATTTGATTATGCTTGCCCGACTAATTTTTTCTTGAAATCCTCGAGACTTTCAACCTGCACACCACGACGACGAAAAACTAGAAAAATACCCGAGAAACACATAGAATACCGAAATAAAACAAGACGCGCAATAAACTATAAAAACGAATAAAAGCTAACGAAAAGACCTAATATAGGGGATAAAAAAAGGCAAAAAGACAATGAAAAATGAAACAAAAATGGGACAAACAACTCTCCCACACTAAAACCTTTGTTCGTCCCGAAAAAAAAGACACGAAAAGAGAAGAAAACAAGCAAACGAGCATGGATAACAGTTTCAAATAAGAGAAGCCTCAAATTAATCAACTTAGCCGAGGAGACTTCTAATGACCAATATAGCACACCTCAATTACAACTCGAATGCAACCCCTTGAAAAGACAAACTCTCAATCACGGAAGTATAATACATATATGCCTCACTCAGTTTCTTGCATGAATATGAAATGGGTTCACTCAAATTGGTCGATCATCATGCTTCAATATAAGCTTGCCTATTGTCTATCTATACTAAAAAACAATTAAATTCATGAAATAGTGAATCAAGAGGACTTCTAGGGATGTAACGTAGGCTCTCTGGATTGGGTAGGATAAATATAGGCTAAGTGGCTCAATAAAAATATCAACTCATGTCAATCATCTAACCGTGATCATGAATTCATCTGGTTGTCAACACCAACCGTTTCCTCCAACATCCTCAAAATCCAAAACGCTACCCACATTATTATTATTTATCTTTTTTTTTTTTTTTGGAACCTTTGGATATTTTATCATAATCCATTCAGCTCTTTTCATTTTCTCTTTTTTGTTTTTTGACATAACACCAACATAAATCACATATATATACACAACCAACACAAATCACCTCCAATTCTTCATTTACAACTCCACAATATCATCATCACGGGGTTATCAGTAAACAAAAATTCAATCAGGCTCAAAGGGGGTGACTAGTGAATGTTATTTTCACAAAAAGAAAAAGGGAATGAAAATACAAAGAATGCCTCGATCATTTTCACATTACTTGTAATTTGATTGCTTCAATTCAAAATAGACTCAAAGCAAGTTCTAATCAACACGAATCCAGCCAATATCTCTCAAGAAACAACCAAGGCTCAAACCTCACATAAGGTAAATAAATGTCCAACAAAACGACACATCCAGTTCATCAAAGCATACTAGTCAAAGCATACTAGTCATGATCATCATCACATCTCCTCAACATCATCAACAATTATCAACCAATCTCAAAATCCACCACAATCAATATTCACAAAACACACAAAAAGACAAAAGACTGGACACCCAACAAAAACAAAAGATGAAAACGCCCTAAAAGAATTAGACTTGGTCAACCATATAAGACACATAATCATGTAAAAACTCACCCACACTTATAACCGAACAATGTCCCCATTGTCAATCTTCAGTGCAAGGAAAGTTTACCCATATAATCAACCAACAAAAAAAAAAGACACTAACCCAAACACGAAAATAAAGAGAAAGGGAAAGATACAGACGTACAGGGCACAGTGACTAGACCAGTCACTGTGAATCCGGTGGTGCAGGTGGAGAGTGGAGGTTGTCGGGCCCCGAACAGCGGTGGGCCTCTGTCAACTCAAATCTCTCGCCCCATTGGGATCGGGGAGGCTCCTTCGATCTCGACTAGGGAAGGGTAGTGTAGCGGTTTGTAAGACGTCCTTTCTCAACACATACACGGCCCTACAATGACCTCTTAGTGTGCTCTCGCATGCACGCTTCCTCAGTAAAATGCTCAACCGCCCAAAAGAATGACAACATTTGCCAGCGGCTCAGGCTGGGTCTCTCGAACGGAGATGGTGATGGACTCGCCGAACACTGTCATGCTCGCCGTCCCCTTCCTCACATCAATAACGGTTCTAGTGGTCGCCATGAAGGGTCGCCCGAGGAGGATGGCATGCTCCTTACCATTGTCTTGCACGTTCCCCACATCAAGCACAACGAAGTCCACGGAGACTATCAGCTTCCCCACTCGGACAAGCACACCCTCCACAATCCCTACGGGGTGACGGAATGAACGATCTGCAAGCTGTAAGCGCATCTTGGTGGGCTTCAATTCTCCGAGCCTGAGCCGATGATAAACCGCGAGTGGCATGAGGTTAATGCCTGCTCCTAGATCAAGCATGCCCAAGGTCTCTTCCCCATTCCCAAAGGCCATAGAGATCACGAAGCCTCCGGGGTCCTTCTCCTTTTTCGGCAAGTTCTGTTGGAAGACACTTGCCGCTTCACACACGAGCACTTCTTCACCGCTCTCGAGCTTCTGCTTATTTGCTGCCACTTCCTTGAAAAATCTCACGTATGCCAGTATTTTCCTGATCACGTCGGGAGGAGATAGGTCTACGCTGGCCTCAGCCAACATCGCATGCAGGTCTCTAATCATCTTGTGGTCCTTCTCCTCCAAAAGTCGGCTAGAAAAAGGAATCCTCAGCTTGTATGGGTTAGGGGACTTGTGCCAGGTCGGCTCAATAGGTGGTGTCACCGGAGCCTTCTCCTCCTTAACAACTGCCTTCTCCTCTTGCTCGGGCATAAGCACTGTAACTGAATTCGCATGCTCGGGCTAACTCGGCAAATTTCCCTTGTTCAATTCAGTCTCGATGGTCCTGACCCGTGTGGCCTACTACCCCACTTGCGTTTCGAGGTGCTTAATGGAAGCCTCATTGTTCATGGTTCGTTGCTGGTTGTCGGCCAAAAACTGGAGGATCTTATCTAGCTTCTTGTCTGAACTTGGCGGGCTCGGACCGGCTCCCTGTGCTGGTAACTGTATCATTTGTCCCCTTGGTTGCTGCTGATGGGGAACAAGGTTGGTTTGACGTGCCTGCTGGTAGTGGTTGTTGGCCCATGAAAAGTTCGGGTGGTTTCGCCACCCAGGATTGTACGTGTTTGAGTACGGGTCATTCCCAGGCCGGTTCTGATAACCCTGTAGTACGTTCACCTCAGCATTCTGTCCTCCATAGCTCAGCTCGATAGCCGACGACGGGCACACCTCAGAACTGTGTCCCTGAACTCCACACGTGCCGCAAACATTCACGACCATAGTTTGAATCGGAGAGGACCCTTCTATCATTTAGTAGATGCATCTGCTCCGTGAGCTCGGCTAACTGTTGGGCCATGACATTGTTGCTCGGTTCAACCTCATTCACTGTTGTCCTCTTCCCTCGGACGCTCTTCTGAGACGAGTTAGCACTCATCGTCTCATATATCACCATCATCTCCTCCGCCGTTTTTGCCCCAATGTCCCCTCCGGCTGCATTATCCACCATGTACTGCAAGTTCTGGTGGAGGGAGTCGTAAAAGCAATTTGCTAATAGCCCAGGAGAGAGGTTGTGGTGGGGGCACTACCTCTGAAGGTCTTTGAAACTTTCCCAAGCCTCGTGAAGAGGCTCGTTCAGCAGTTGAGCAAAGGAGACTATCTGGGACCGAATATCTTGGGCCTTCTGATGGGAATAGTACTTCCCGACAAATTTGGAGTATACTTTTGCCCATGTTGTGAGAGAATCCGGGGCGAGGGTCATGAACCACGCCTTGGCCCGGTCCTTCAGAGTCTCCGGGAAGCACCGCATCTTCAGCTGGTCCTTGTTCAGGTTATGGAGAGGAAAGGTTTGGAAGACATTATAGAACTCCCGGATGAAATAGAGTGGGTCTTCGTTAGGGAGCCCGTGGAATGATGGGAGCTGATTGTAGTGTACAATCTTCAGCTCATAGTTTCGGGCGTCTTGCCCCAACCGGTTACAAGAAGTGATTGGCCCGATCATGGGTTGGGCTACGTCTCGGAGGAGATCACGGGGAGGTTTTTGAGCCATCTCTGGTTTGGTGTTTCGGATGATTTGAGGCTGAGTTTGTCGAACAGCTCACTCAGGTTCTCGGGGTTGGTTTTGTCGTTCGGTGCTAGTACACGTCCACTCTTGGTACGCATACACTCAAACAACAAACATGTTACGAGCACCAACAGTAATTAAGAGAAATTAAAACAAAGAGAAACACAGAAAAAGAAAAGCACAAAAACGAAAAGAAATACGGAAAACAAAGTGAATAAGCGCACAAAACACGTCCTAAACCCTCCCCGGCAACGGCGCCAATTTGTTGTAAATATTTTTCTGGAGTAGAATCGTAAGATTTGAACACCGGGTCATGTCTCACGAGGAAGGTTAGCCGGAATACTCTGCACGTTTATTCAAGCATAAGTAAGAGAAATAAAATTCCTAAACATTCTAATTCAGATGATTTGGTCTGATTATTAACTACGACAGTTCAAATTAAGCAAATAGAAATTTAAAAGCAGAGACGATGAACAAGCAAAAGTAAAGAGCTAAGGAGTCGGGGATATCCGTTTTGGTTCGATTTGCAATTAATGGGCAAGTTATTGTTCGGTTAAGTGATTTGAATAACCTGCACGTTCAAGTACGCATCCTCAATAACTCTTCGTAACAAGAGAACAGACTTGAACGACAAATTAACAAATCATTTAACACCTAGGCAATATAGTTACGAACAAGCCTAGCTTATACAAGTCTATTTCGACTGACTCCTCCCCTTTCGGTTCTAAGAGTCGATTAAGATAAATTAGAGGGCGATTAACTAACTAATCGAATAGAATCACCAACATCATGCAGGAATATATCAAATTCAATTGAAACAATTGTAAGTTGAAGTGTCACCCTTCAACAATTCTCAATATTCCTGAATAATTGAAATCCCTAAAAAAAGTTCAACTCGCATAAAAAGAACAATCAATGAACACTACAATCACAACCGAATCCAAAACATTAATCCCTTATCCCTAGCATATGGATTTAGCTACTCATAATTGAATCAACACAAGCATTAATATCAACCCAAGAATTCATATTCATCAAGTTAAATGAGACGAAAATCTTACAATTGACAATATTCCAAAGTTGAATCTGATAAACAGGCTTAAATCCAAAGCAATGAAGAAAATCCCACTCAAATCCACGAACAATTTGTGTTTTAAGATGAAAAAGATGTAAGAAAAGTGAAAAGAACCAGAGAAGAGAAGAGAGGGTAGGGTTTTTATGTTCTGGAGTCAAGAGATCCTTTATGTTGCAATCCGATCTTATATTTATATGTGCAGGGACTAGCGGCGTGGAGGAAGTCTAGTGCGGCGCGAGGAGGGACGTTGCCGCAACGCGGAGGTGCGGCCGCAGTGTGAGGAGGTGGTCTGCTGCGGCGCGAAGGTGTGGCCGCGGCGTGGCGGACGAGACTGGATGTGTTCTGTAGGGGCGTGACAGGTAGGCGCGGTGCGGCAGGAAAGGTCGTCGCGGTGCGGGGGTCTTCACGGCGCGGCAAGGGCTGGCTTGGNTTTTTTCCTGTGTGATGCCAACACTATATTTGATTACGCTTGCCCGACTAATGTTTTCTTGAAATCCTTGAGACTTTCAACCTGCACACCACGACGACGAAAAACCAAAAAAATACCCGAGAAACACATAGAAAACCGAAATAAAGCAAGACGCGCAATAAACTATAAAAACGAATAAAAGCTAACGAAAAACCTAATATAGGAGATAAAGAAAGGCAAAAAGAGAATGAAAAATGAAACAAAAATGGGACAAACACATGGGAACGCTAACCCACAACCGCCGCCTCAACCTCCTACAGGAGACAATTTGACAGCTCAAGCCATCACTCAACTCATGAATTTTCTTCAACAACATGTGGCACCAAACCCCAATGCACCTGAAACCCATGATCGGGCGTTAGAGAGATTCTTGAGTTTCAACCCACCGACCTTTCTCGGGGAACCTAATGATGCTAAGGCAGAATACTGGCTCGATTGAAGTATCTTTGCAACGTTTCTATACACTAAGACACAACGTTTGTCCCTAGCTACATTTCGTCTAGAATCTGCTGCACACGATTGGTGGAGGAATGTGTCTGAGAAATGGACACAAGAGAATATGGACAGGACTTGGGCAAACTTCGTGAGTGAATTCAAAACCCAATACATCTCACAAGTTGCGAGAGAAGCTAGAAGGGATGAGTTTTACCATCTTAAGAAAGGAGCACTAACTGTAGCACAATACGGTCCCAGTTTAATCGGCTATCCAAATATGCGCCAGGGCTGATTACCACTGAAGAGGATAAGTTGTATAAGTTCACTAGAGGCTTGAGGCATTCCTTGCAGCAGAGTCTTCTTACAGTAAGGATGAACATATATGCTGAAGCCGTCGAGGCCGCCACCCGAATTGAAAGTGGTATGGCACGTCTAGGACAAGCTCGAAATAGCACTGGTGGAAATTTTAAGAGGCCAGCACCAGGGCCGCCTTCTAAAACCCCTAAAAAATTTCAAAAGCCTGGTGGATCAAGAGATGCCCCCACTGGAAAGAAACCCTCTGTCAAGAATGCACCCCCACTCTGTTCTCACTGCTCCAAGGTTGGGCATACCCCCAATGAGTGCTGGCGAAATCTGGGTAAGTGCCTAAGATGTGGTAGCTCACAACATCAAATTAATGATTGCCCAAGGAGCGGAGCTCCGACTGATAATCGAGCTGCACCAGTGAAGCCTGGAAACAACCGAGCTAGGGTACCGACAAGTGTGTTCGCTCTGGCAGGGTATGAAGCTCAAGAAGCAGCTGACATGGTAGAAGGTACATTTATCGTATCTAACCACTTTGCACGTGCATTGATAGACCCAGGATCATCTCATTCATCTGTTGCTCCTCGATTTGCACAAAAACTTAATGTATTTGTCGATCTTCTCTGAGGTATCAACTCCTATGGGTGCAAGCCAGTTAAGTGATGTGGTCTATAATTTCCATTTATTGCTAGGAATATGGGTTAGATAATTATGGGCACAATAACATTTTTTTTTCGAAACGAGAGAATTATTATATATAAAAAAGCACAAATGTGCGAACGTACAGCCACTAGCCGAATACATACAGCCAACGGCTGAATACAACCAACCAACAGCTGAAAAACTGGGAGGACAGCCTAAAGATTGCCTAGAACCGATCCCAACAGGGTAACCTAAAAACTCAAACATCACAACGACACTGAAACACTAAATAAAATTCATTTGGTATAACATTACAAACTCAAAATAGATTCTCCCATATTTTATACATATTGCTAGGAATATGGATTCGAGATTATACCAAATGAATCTCAGTACAAATTTTATTAACTTTTAAATTCGAATTTTTCAAACAATTACCGCTAATTCTCAAATTATTTACTAATAAAAGTAAAAATGAATTATTTAGGCGGGAAATCAATTAATATTTTAGGTAAATACTGAATCTTTTTTATATTTATATATATNTCCAAAAGTAGCTCGTCAAGTGGGGGTTAATTAGGTCCAGGGCTTATACGTGAACGTCGGGAACGTCTAGGTGGAATCATAAAAATATTACTGAATTAATTTAAATTTACTATTATGCATAATTTATAAGATATATGTTATGCATAATATATTAATTAAATTAGTCAAATACAAAAATTATGCAAAATCTAATTCATCCATAATTATTATTATTTTTAGTATAATTATTATTATTTTTATTGTATAATTAATATAATTTCATGCATAAAAATTTAAAATATTTTTACTATTCTAAAAAATAATTTAAAAAATTGAAAAAATAATACGGTCGCCTAGGTTCCAACAAGTTCAGCTAGTCAGTCTAAGCGGGACTAACTTTGCAATCGTCTAACCTGCCTAGGTGTCGCCTAAGCCGCCTAAGCAAAACTTATGACACCTTTTTGGGTATCGCTTAGGCGAACACCTAGGCCAATTTTTACACCAATGTAAAGATCCTTTAAATTAAGTTCAAATTTGATGCTACACTTTAATAGTAAGTATATAATTAATGTTCATATATATGGGGTTTTATAGCAATTGCAGATAAATAGACCCTTACTTCACAAACATAATATCTATTTAGTCTGTCGATAGTTTCATTGTAGATTGAATTGATGTATTGAAATATGTAGAATACATGTCACTACATCATTTTATGAATAATTATAACTAGTACAACACCCGTGTATTATACGGGTGTTTATTAAAAATTATTCTTAAATTTTAAAATTAATTAGAAAAATTATTCTTATATATTATTATATATTTTAAAATGACACTTGTTACTTGTGCGACTTACATGTGTTATATTATAGTAATTTTTATAACTTATATCATATAACTACTTAAAATATAAATATATTAATTGATAAATAATTTTATTTTTCTAATTAATATTAAAAAAAATTATTATTGTTATAAAGATAAAGATAATTTATTTTTTTTCTACGTACATATGGATGTTAAATCGAAGCTCATCAAGAGATGATTAATTTTATATATTATATATGTAAAACCGATAAAAAATATAAAAGTTATTAACTTTTAAAATATATTTACAATTCAATGGTTATAATAAGAAATGATATTAAAATACAAATTAATAAATGTAACATCACCATAAATAATTAACATATTTATGGATAATCCAAACCTAATTATTTTTTGATTGGAAGTAAATTAAAATTTACCCAAGCCTAATAACGAATCATGTAATTTTGCCACATAGGATCCCGAAGCATGTGAGCCTGTCACTTAGGCTCAGCACGTTTTGAATTAACTAGTGTGTGGCCCGTGCGATGCACGGGAAAACAATATTACGATTGTATTATACATTAAATATATAAATAACATTAATCATGATTTATCCATTGTTTTTAAATTAAAACCGGTTGGACACAGTCCGACCGAATGGACTGAGAACCGATTTATAACCAGTATAGTTCGGTTGAATAAAATATTTGCTCTCGAATCCGTCAACACCAGTCGGTTGGACTGGTAGGATCGATACAACTTTCTAAATAAATTTTGTTATTTTTAAAATTAGTTTAAATAAAATTACATATTTAAATAAAATAGAGATTTACAAATTATTTATCAATTAGTTTAAACATTTGAATTTTGTAATTTATTTAGATATCTAAGTAACACATTTTAATTAAATTTATTACAAAAGGTACATTATATATATATATTAAAATGTTTATGAATTAAAATCTGAACAAACCACAAATGATTAAATAAAATAGCTTGATCGTTTCGATGATGGTCCAGTTCTGAAAATCTTATATTTACTGTACATTCATAAATATTATAATAAAATATTATTTAATTCACATAAATATTAATAAAATGATATATAAATATTTATAAATCATTAAAGATCTTGTCATAAAAGTATTGTTAATACGATTATTTAAAGTTTGGACTGCATCACATTCACGTAATAAAATATTTTAAATATAAAATTTAAATTTAGGTTAAATAATCGATTTGGTGTGGTCAAACTGGTACATAATTTAATCACCTGGAACCAACCAAGTTGTGTCAAGTTTTTTGACTATTTTAAATATCACCTAAAATTAATTCAATCAAGCTGAACAGTACCCTAATTCATCACCCGATTGATCCGAAGAAATTTTCTTATTTTCTTTAAATATATTTAATTTTATCTCAAATTAATTCAATCAACCTGGACAGTACCCTAATTCAATCACCCGATTGATCCGAAAAAATTTTCTTATTTTCTTTAAATATATTTAATTTTATGAAATAAAAATATTTTATTATCATATAATAAATGTCTACACCAAATGATAGTATATTAATATTATATATTATATATCTAAAGATGGATTAATTATTTTACTTTATACATATTAATAAAAAATAAACATAGTAATTTTTAAAAATTAAGATTAATTGATTGATTATGCAATTTAAAGAATATTTTTAGCGTTCAATATTTTTTTAAAGGCACCAATATAAAGTTATATTTGAATTGAGATTTTATAAATATAGAGACCGAGATTTTAATGTTGTACGTTGTTTCTAAGAAAAAAATAAAAATAAAAACATACACACTTAATAAATCTTAGCCTGATTTTTTAAATAATAAAATGAACTAAATCCCGAAATTTAAGGTAGCATTTAATGTTGTATGATTTTTAGAGAAAAAAATAAAAAAATAATAAAACTTACTATTTATAAACTGCATTAAATTCTGACCTATTTTTTTCTATTATTTTTAGTAAATGGTAATTTTTATTATATATATATATATAGATATAGATATGTTCTGAATTAATATATATAAGGGGAAGGGGGATTATGGATAACGCCACAAAGTATATCATTCAATGTCCATAGCAAAACTGACCTAAGAAATTCCCAAAATTAAAACTAATAATTGATGTAGTGGAATGATATGTCCATCAAGATAATGAACTGTCTTAAAACTACGAACCAAATCCTGGCTAATAATTTTAAATATAAAAATATCCTCGGATCAATAAACATCTTCTTTTTAGTGTGAATCCAGAATCTCATCATATATATATCTGAAAAAGGAAGTTGAACATAAAGGGGGAAAAAAAATCATGAAAGCTTTCTTGTCTCTATTAGAGAAGATGAAAATATATGAAAATATATAATAAAAAAAACTAAAAAAAAAAAAATATAAGATGAGAAGATGAGCCACGTATGCAGGTTAAGAATCACTCCTGTACATGTTAAGGATGTGGACATAATATTATCATGTTCCTTGTCACAACAAAAAAATTTTGAAGGTAATGTCCAAAAAATGCATGTTATTTTGAATTTGCTGCTTCATAATCTGAGTGGCCATTTGCCTTTTTGGCTTGATGACACCTATATATTTCTGTAATTTTCGAAATGCCCCCATCAACCTCTCTTAATTGCCCTGCTGCCCCTATTAAGCGCCATCAGTACAGTTGCCCACTTGCTCTGCCCTGTACTTGCATTTTTGGTGTGTTTATGCAGATAATTCCAAATTTTGTCATTAGTTAGACAGCTTTGATATTTATGTCATAACCAGATATGTTAAACGAAATCAGTCGATCTCGAACTCATTTAAAGCTCGAAATGAGGAAATTTTATAGGTTTTTATAGCTCGACTCGTTAAATCACGAGTTAACTTATTTAGACTCGAGCTCGACTTGTTATGATTCAAACTTAGATCGTTAATTACCTAATCTCGTTTATCATTATTAAATGAACCAGTAAAATGCTCGAGTTCGAGTAACATGAGCAGAGCTGAGCTCGTTTACTCCCCTGTCATAGGAACTACTCCCTCTAGGTACAATTAAGTGTAGCTTTTAGGTTAATTTTTTTTTGTTTATTATTATTTGTGGTTTTATACTATTCTTCCAAAATAAATACTATCAGAAAAATTAAAAGATGGAAAAATAACAACTAAAGTATAAGAGACATAGAAAATAAGTAAGATACGGAAAAAAAATAAATAATTCTAAAAACATAGTATCATTTAATATATGGGAGTTCGACACAGAGTAATATAGCCAACATATGAACTGTTGGCTTTTTTTTTCTAGAACAACACTTGTAAAATGTATAACTTATTTGGAAACACTTCTTAAATTAATGGATTTTTGGATGCAAACTTCGTTTGATATTTATTTCATATTTGGTGATAAATTTTAAATTGACTTATGATAGGTTGGTTCTCAAAAAATCCATTATATAAAAGTAAAAGAGAATGAAACTTTACAAACAATTCATTCTATAAAAGCCTATTAATTAATAAATTGTCTTCCATAAAAATGCTCTCAAACAAGCGTGTAGTATTTACTATCACTACAAGAAAATGATGAAATTCCAATGGAAATATATTCTAATAGAATTCCAACGGCAATTCTAATGGATATTTTAATGTTATTATTTTCGTTGAAATTATTCCAATGAAAATTTCCTACAAAAAATTCCGTTGGAATGAAATTTCCATTGGAATTTTCGTTGGATTTTGACGGTTCCAACGATAGATTTTCCAACGGAAATTCCTACGGTGAAAAACCGTTGGAATCATCAAATTTCATCTAAAATTCCAATGAAAAATACATTCCAACGCAATATTCTCGTTGGAATTTCTGTTGGAATCATTCCAACGGAAGCTATACCATTGGATTATCCGTTAGAATTTCTATATGAATATATTACCATAAGATTTTCCGTTAGAATATAACAATGTTTTTGTAGTGTATATATATAATATATGTAAAGNCACTAATCACTTATAAGGCTTACCATCTCATATTATAATGATTTTTCTAAATTATATCATTTAACAACTTTGTAGTTTAATTTATTTAAATAATTTTATTTTTTTAATTAATATTAATATGTAACTTAATTTCTATTATAAAGATAAATATAACTATTTATTTATTTTTTATTTAAAATATTGGTATTAAATCAAAGCTCATCAAGACATAATCAATTTTATATATTATGTATAAAAAATACGTAATAAATAAAAAATTATTAACTTTTAAATCTACTTATAGTTTTTTTTTTCCTCGGAACGACAGACATTCTCATAAAATAGAAATCAGAGTTTGAATACAATCGAAAATCCAAAGTCGAATAGAGAGAGATCCACTCGCATGTGGTCTAAACACACACACAAATACTTAATTTAAAAATTCGTGCAAAAGAAATTTATGAAGTGTAGTAAATGTAAATATGCCTTTTATTTTGCCACCTCTTTGGGCTGACTAGTGAATTGGGCTGCAATAAAATTTCATTACTGGCCCATCATATTAGCCTCTTTACACAAAAATGTATATTATATTAAATGATATCAAAAAGATATCAAATCCAGTACACTAATTTGTTAAAAATATAAAGGGAAATTTTCACTTATACTACATGAAATTGAAAATTATGCAAATCTACCGTCCATAAACAAATAATTGTGTATCTACCTAATTGTCAAGATTTAACTACATTTATGCCTAAAATTCAGTTACCTAAAAAGTAGACTCCATCAATTTTCTGTTACCATGATTTCCGCCAAAGAGNGTTAGCATCGTAAGGTATATGTGAGATATATTTTTCCATCGTAAGGTATATGTTTACCGAGATTTTTCAGTATATATACTTAAAAATACAAGCCGTAATGTTGGGTATATATTTAATATATATACATAAAATATACCATAAAAAAATGTAGATGTATGTATTGTATATATTTTTCATGATTTTACTAAATCTAAATCAATCATATATCGAAAATATACTAAATAAAACATTGAATGAACATTATATTTTGAGTTTATATTTAGTATATACTGCTTATATATACAACATATACTGAACATATACTCCAAATAAACCAAATATGCCCAAATCGTTCAGAATAAAACCCTTATTCACGCTTATCATCGCAAAATCTTCATCTTCTTCTCCAAAGATTCTCGAGCAGCAGAGCAGATAAAAATTCCTTCGCAGCTTTCTTCTTCGCGTGCGTCCTTCGCCATTAATCGTCTTCATCCTTCTCCACTGACGCGCGACCCCTCTCAACAGGTAGCAAACCTCGTCCCTCATCTTCCTCCATCAACGAGATAGCAGCAGTAGAGCGAGTAGCAGGTTCCGTCCGCCGTTGCACCTGAGGTCACGTCACCCTCCGTCGGCGAACTAGCAATCCATGCCGGGAGTCAAGCTGTGCCGGAGATCCCACGTTTGCTGTCGTACGCCTATCGAGAAGGAGCCGTGGCGAGCAGCGAGTTCCGTCGATCCTCCTCAGCCGCTCGACTTCGTCAAGCGAGTAGCAATCCTATCCGATCTGATTGTCAGATCAGACCTTCGCCGTCGCGCCTGTTCCGGTCACCGGCCGCCGGCGACAAGAAGCAGCAAACAACAACTCGGGCCAGTGAAAGATCCGAAAAGGGCTCCTCCTCCTCCGAACTGATCTGAAAAATCGAAGAGGGTTTTTTTGCAGAGAAGTGGGTGAAGGTGGGCCGTGGTTTTGGAGAAACGATGAGAGAGAGACTTTGATTTTAATTAATTATCAATTGCATTTAATTTGCCCTGTTATTAACATTCAGAATCTTAGGTATAAGTGAAAATATTTTGGACTTGTTTTGTAATTTTATAAATAAAATTATAATGGGTGTATAAGTGTAATATATATCATAACTGATAGTAAGGGATGTAAATTCCTCAAATATAAAAAAGGTACACTAACCAAGATTAATGGTCAAAAGGCTGAATTATTTAAATTATTATGGGTTTGGACGCAGGCCGATCACAGGTTAAAAGTTGAATTCGTGCACATAACTTTAAAAAAATGGAATAAGCAAATTGTTGAGAATCGATCGCCAACTATTTTTAATTGCGAGTAAAAGGGTAGTTTAATAGTTGTTTGTAGGGAAATTTTGATTTGGTAAATACAAGATTAAACTAAAGGTGCAATAAATAAGGAAACATGCACGATTTGCCGATCACTTGGTGGATTTGTAAGAGGAAATTTCTATTATGAGTGTAACTTTTTTAGTGTGATTTATTGTCTGTGTTTGTATGAGATACTTAGTGTCTCATTTATACACGAGAAAAATAAAATATAATGATGATAACGTGTCACCTTAGGAGCTAGATGACATGTGTTGTCATGCAAAAATCTGACTTTTGAGGATAGAACATGCATTTCAGCTATCCCGATAAGACCGATTGGACGGTCGCTTTATTAGTTTTTTTGGTCAGAGGTCATTCACACGTTGCAGAGAGATCGGCAACGAGCTCCTAATAGTGAATGAGTATTCATTACGAGAAAGATTCAACGATGGGTCACCCACCTTAAATGGCCCTCGAATGACACCGAAATTAGGCTAGATAGAGAACAATCCAATCTATTTTAGATATATGATAAAATGAATAACAACTCTGTTGTGCTAAAATGTAATGAGTACGAACAGCGTGTGAGAAGAACCCAATGGCGAGTCACCTATATGAAATAACAACATCGGATAGCACCAGAATTAGGCCGGATAGAAAACATCGGATTTTATCTTGTTGCTCAGTATTAGTATAATTTTATTATGTTTTTTAAAAAATTAATATACTAAGTTTGATGTCTATTAATATGTGACGTATTTTATTTTTTTCCTTCAAATGTCACTACAACCAAGATAATTTTCTCTTAGTCTGGTCACCATGTAAATTGCATAATCACATAATTATTGAAGATATATATATATATATATATATATATATACTATTTTTCCATAAAATCTACATGATAATAACACGAATAAATAAATTGGAGGTAAAATAGACATACATTTTATTCTTATAATTAAAATATCTTTTATTTTATATAAAAAAAAAAAAATTAGAATTTTGACACCGGTGAAAATGGACACTTTCCTTTGTTTCCAAGTATAGAGTATTTTTAAGTTTGAAGTCAATTCAACTTCTTCACAAAGTCAGTTTGAAATATTTCCATAAATAGTTTAAGCCTCAACCTTCAGATATGGAAAACCAAGAACCAAGAAGCAACTCCACATAAAGCGGCAAGCTTTACTCATAGGCCATTTTTACTCAAAATCTCATTTTCAAGTCAATCGACATATAAAAACCGCTTGGAGCCTCAATTTTTTTCCTTAAGCAACACCATTTTTAGAAAGAGAGACTTTTCTCTCTTTCTCTATTGTGTATAATTTGTACATTTTTAACCACTCTTCTTTTCTTTTTTCTTTTAGTATATTTTGTTTTGTTAAATGCATGAAATAACATTTCGACAAAAAAGGCGATTTCACAATGTCGAAAGGTTCAAGAAACCGCACTTTGGTACTATTGACGATTCTTTTCACGTCGACTTTTTCTTCCTCTTCGATTGAAGCCACCATCTCGTACGATGATAAAGCTTTCATTATCAATGGACAAAGGAAAATTCTCATTTCGGGTTCTATTCACTACCCTAGAAGCACTCCCGATGTACGTAGCACTTTCACTTTCGACATTGTAAATATATTTTTCGTTGATTTATTTTAATATGTCGGTTGTTGTATTTTGTGATGGATTTAGATGTGGCCCGATCTTCTGAAGAAGGCTAAAGATGGAGGTTTGGACGTTATACAGACTTACGTGTTTTGGAACGGGCACGAGCCATCTCGTGGCAAAGTAATGCATGCATTTTTTATTTTCTTCTTTTAGTGATCATCATTTTTTTTTTTCTTGACTTAAAAGTGAACAAAGTTTTATTCCTTTAACCGATTTTTTGTTGCAGTATAATTTTGAGGGGCGATTTGATCTCGTCAAGTTCATCAAACTCGCGCAGAAGGCCGGGCTTTACGTTCACCTACGCATTGGGCCTTACGCTTGTGCTGAGTGGAACTTTGGGTGAGAAAATTTTTGTGGTAATTGTATTTTTCGACAAACTTTGTTACATTGAAAATGATGCTATGTTGGTTTTATAGGTTGATAAAGCTCTAATTTGAGATGTGAGAAATTAATATGTAAATGCTTATTGTTATTTGCTCTGTTTTGATGCAGGGGATTCCCTGTTTGGTTGACATATATACCGGGAATGGAATTCCGAACAGACAACGAGCCTTTCAAGGTTCATTTGGTTACATGGATTAAATTTATATATATATATATAGTCACATGACTGATTTTTTTAATTCATTTGCCGATCGACTGTAAAAGACGGAAATGCAAAGATTCGTAACGAAAATCGTGAACATTATGAAGGCAGAGAAGTTATTTGAGCCCCAGGGAGGACCGATTATTATGTCGCAGGTTCAAAACTAATCGCCACCTTTTAGTTTCGTCAATAAGTTTGCAATCGTACTATTACTATTTTTTTTTTCAAGATTTATTTTTTAATTTTTTTCGGCAATTAAGTAGATAGAAAACGAGTATGGGCCGGTAGAGTGGGAAATAGGTGCTCCCGGTAAAGCTTATTCAGCTTGGGCTGCAAAAATGGCCGTCGGATTAAATACCGGTGTTCCTTGGATCATGTGCAAACAAGAAACGGCTCCTGATCCAATGGTACTCGATTTAATTTTGATCGACAATTTCGACTTATGCAATGCTTAAAAATTTGGCTGTATATTGTCGAATTTTATTTGTAATCGGTATCATATTTAAATTAATTTTTCACAGATAGATGCATGCAACGGTTTCTATTGCGAGAAATACACTCCAAACAGGCCTTACAAACCGAAAATGTGGACTGAAGTGTGGTCTGGCTGGTAAACTATTATAAAACTACTTATTGTCCATGGCTAACTAACTAAATTCAGATCAAATTTTCTAGTTTTTGATAATTTTTTTGCTTTTTTAATGGAGTGTTTTTTTTTTTTTTTAGNGCAGGTCGGTGGCCCGAATCCATACAGACCAGCTGAAGATTTGGCCTTTTCGGTTGCTAAGTTCGTCCAAAATAACGGGTCGTTCTTCAATTATTACATGGTAAGAAGTTCAAATATTCGTTCTTGGAATAAAATCTCTTGCTGATAAGAAACTATTACATTTTAAATCATTTTATTTCATTTTGTTGTATAGTACCATGGAGGAACGAACTTTGATCGAACATCGGGTCGTTTTGTAACCACAAGCTACGACTTTGACGCTCCACTAGACGAATATGGTAAAACTTACGAATAATATCACTTCGAAAAGAAAAGAGAAAAAAATTTGTAGCATCCTTATGCATTTTTTGTAATCGATTAACTTATTAGGACTCCCGAACGAGCCAAAATGGGGGCATTTAACGGAGTTACACAAAGTAATTAAGCAATGTGAGCCAGCCTTAGTTTCGTCGTACCCCACAGTAACTTGGCCCGGTAAAAACCAAGAGGTACAGAAAAAGGGAAAAAAAAAGTGAATGTTTTCTTAAAGCTATTTTTTATTGTATGTTTACTGAATCTCTTTTCAACCCGTTTGTAGGTTCACGTTTTCAAGTCGAAATCGGGAGCTTGTGCAGCGTTTCTAACAAACAACGACCCCAAATACCCCACGAATTTGACCTTGTGGAATGTGCAGTATACTCTGCCTCCTTGGTCGATCAGCATTTTGCCCGACTGCAAAACCGAAGCCTTTAACACAGCCAAAGTACGTAAA